CCAGCTTCCATTCAACAGGATGACCAGCTTCAGCGTGCTGAGAAGGAACATTCCAGGCACTCAGGACAGAAGGCTCAGTGCTGCAGCAACACACCTTCTGTAAAAAGGCCCAGATAACAGCTTTTGATGTTCCCCCTCACAATCTTCTATCTCCATCTTGGTTATTTCACACATCAGAAATTACTCCAAAGGCAGCCTTGGACAATCACCAAACTGGAGGTCTTGGTTTTAATAAGCTTTTCTTAACAAAGCCAAAGCCTTCCTTTCTCTAAAGCAGACTGGAATTAGTCTACAAGAGGCTCCAGACACTTTCAGACCCATCTTTCCAGCAGCATCATGGGCAGGGAACAGTGACTCGGTCTGACCCTCCAGGAGTGTTTCAGAACGAGGGATGCAGCACAGGACTTGTGTGGTGAGAGCCACTGAATGCCTCTGCACACCAAAGGGAGGAACAGCCAACACCACCAGCCCCAGCCAGCAATAACCTGACTCCAGAAGAGGCCAGGAGCAGATGCTCAGGAAAAAGCATAAAAGGGTCATTCTTCCACCCTCCTCTCATTCCAACCCCACACCTCCCAGTTGGAGGTAAATTCCCAAGCCCAAAACTGCATCTGAATCACTGCATTTACTGGCCCCCCACAGGCCTACCAACAGATCCAACTGTTCCTCAAAAGAAGGATAAGGCTCCTGAATATCCCACCTCAATCAGTCTATAGCTTAACTACACAAAAACTATTGGTTTTCATTTTAAAGCTGCTGACAATTGATTACACCCAGTATTCCCCATTTCTTGCATAATAAGGAATTACCTAAGACCATCCCTTCCCATTTACTCACATCAATTGTGACTTTAAGATCTCTACAGTATTTCCTTTCAAGCGTTTATCCCCTTAGCAAGTCAGTTTATTTACACACCACCTCACCCAGCCTTGCAAAACCAGGCTGAGCCAACGTCCTGTAAAGCTAAACCAGGTCCCAAGCTTGAAGAAACCGTGGAGCTGAAGGATACTGATTATCCCAATTGCTTAGGGACTTTGAATGCCTTTGTATTCAAACAGAACTCCATCCCTTGGGATAAGGGACCTTGATCCGGGGGGCTTGAGAGGTGTTTCAGAGCTGGTGGCACAACAATTTGCAGGCACAAGGAATGCAAAGCACGTTCTCACCAGCGCTGGCAGAATCCTGTGTCCAGGAAGCCCTGGCCCAGCACGCTGCCAGGCACAGCCAGCAAGGTGAGGCACTGCAGGGAAGGCAGGAGCACAGCACAGGAGGGATCTGCACTACCTGCCACACTGATCCAGCACCTGATGCTGAGCATTCAGGAGCAGATGGACCACGAGGGCAGCTCGGGCCTTCCAGGGGAGCAGCAGCACGGGAAGGGCCAGCAGAGAACGCCGGCACTGAACTGCAGTGCTGCTTTCTCCCACACACAGAACAGCTGTGTGCTTACTGCACTGGGAGCACAGGCACGCTCCTTCCAAAAACAGCACCCATGCGCTTCACGGCAAAGGTGTGCTCCAGTGCTGCTTTACAACTGCAGCTCCTTCTCTGGCATCTGCTCACCAGAGCACAAATTTGGGAGTGTGTTCTGATCTCAATCTACAGGGGCAAATCATCTGGAGTAGGAAGCTGTGAGCACTGTACACAGACAATTCCAGATGAACACGTGTTAAGGAGGGGATTACCATCACCTGAGACTGGGTCAGGTGCAATGGTCCAGTGTAACACAGAAAACTATTGCACTACAACCACTTACTGTTATTGGACTGTACTTCTACACTTTTGAAAGCATTACTCTAAAACCATGTTTTGGCTGCAAACATAGTGGGGGAAAAAAGGAATTTCTTGAAAGCATTTCCATGGAATTCCATACATCTTGTAGTCAACAACATTTTATAAATTTGTGATCCCAGAACAGTTTTCAAACACATGTGAATTCAGCTTTCCAACACTGCCAGAAAACACCATCATTCCTGATTTTTACAGATATGTACAGGATATAAATGCCTTACACCCACAACATGCGGCCACAGAATTTGTCCACAGCAGCGCTCAAAAGGTGAAGATCTTGATAGCACCTGATATCTCTGTAACTAAGATGCTTTTAAACTCTCAGTCCTGACTGCCCTCAGGTTCCAAAGTAACTAATCCGTGCCCTAACCCACATGCACACCCCGCTGAGGCCAGCCTGTCACCCCGCTCTGCCATATCCCTGAATCCTCATGCAGAGGCCCTCGGCAATTACCCGCGTTCAACACCACCACTGCGACCTGCTGCAGCTCCTGACAGCTGCACAGGTGAGTGGGACAAGTTTTCAACCTGTTTATACACACCAGAGCAGGTACCAAGACGCCCATTTGAGAGCTCCAATACCAAGAATGTAAATGAATTCAAGTAGCTTTTTTTTGGCAGGGACAAGAAGGGCTGAACGGGTGCCTAATTATTTCACAACGGCTGTCCCTAGATCCTATTTTAGCATCGGGCTTTCATTAAATTTAAGCATGACTTCAGAGTACCAGCTGGCTGGAAAAAACAAAAACCACAAACACAGCCCACTCACAACACCCCACGGGTGTTCTTTCCCCCGCCCATGTTCTCTTCCTACCCTCACGGAGGGCTTGGAAGACACCAGGTCCATTTGGAAAGCCAGCCTCAAAAGCAGATAAGTTCTGCAGGAAATGGCTATATTTAGCCCTCCCCTTTCACCTCAGCTCCTCCACACACTTGCATTCTCCTGCAAAAGGATCTTTCTACTCAGTGTTAGAGGTGATCTTCAGCAGGTCACCTCAGCAGAAAGAATGCAACCAGCTTCATAGGTGTTAAGAGAAGAGCGTGAACATTCACCAGAATATCAAATATTCAGCTACTAAGGCATACAATAAAATTCTCACGTCTCAAAGCGTGTTGAATTGCAAGTTCCAGGAACACAATATGCCCAAAATCACTTTCTGAGTGGTGCCCATGGAGGGCAAGGCTGAACCTCCACACATGCTACCACGGTTTTCACCAATTTTGTCAGTAACTAACACAGCCATCCTATTCTCTACAGAATATAAACATGAGGCAACAAACTCAACAGCTCTGCAGCTAAAATATTTTTCTAATAAATAATTTTCTAAATTTGTTTCCTAGTAAATCATAAAAAACCAGTTAACAATGGTTCCCAGGCAGAGAATATCAGCAACACCTCTGGAAACATCATCAGCACCAGGTCAGTAGGATTTCCCTTTCCCAGCTTGAAACTTTGAAACACATTATTAGACTTAAAAATGAAAACGTATAAAGGGGCTTTTTCTCCCCTCAAGTTGTTTTGTTTAAATAACAGCTTCACCTGATATAATTCTGTCCTAACCATGATTTAGGCCTGCAAGGAGGTTGAGGCGTGAACTCAGTCACAGCAACAGACCTTAAAGTTTGTCCCAAAGCCTGCAAGAGCTGATTATTTACAAACTAAGGAGGTTGAGGCGTGAACTCAGTCACAGCAACAGACCTTAAAGTTTGTCCCAAAATGAAGACAGAACAAAACACACCTCTCACTCAGTGTGAGGAGACAAAGAGGCAAAGGGCTACAGTCAGGAACTGCTCCCAAGTCCTGTGCCACTGGGCAAGGAGCACACACCACCCCCTGCAACAGAGGAATGCAGGTCTTATCCCAGCAAACAAACCCCGAGGGAAGGCAAACCTCTGAAACCACTGCACACACTTAACACCTCCTGGGGAGAGCACAGGGCATACAGGAACTTTTTGTTCCCTTAAAACAGATCTCTAACACCTCCTCCTCAAAAAAAAAAAGTAAGTTTCGGCCATCAAAGGCCCCAGCCGTGCACTTGAGAGCTCTCCACAGCCAGGACTCCAGCTCTCCCATTTCAATTGCAGGGCACCCCAGCACTCTTCAAACAGCTCCGGCCCTTCAAGGCCAGGGCTCCGAGAGTATTTGCAAAGTGCCTGCCGCATTCCAGGTCGACACCGTCCCTCTGAAGATGAGTATAAGGATCACAGCAAAGATCGTATTACAGGAAACAAAAGAAAAGTGAAAGTTTAAAAATAGACTTGTCATTGCCCACAGCTAACTGCTACAGCCACAGGGGTCTTCTTCAAGGTGAAGCCGGGCTTCAATGCACACCATTAAAACACACGAGATTTGGAAAGAGAATGTTCTCTCCTGGGAGCTCAAGGCATCGTTTCCAAGCGTGGTTCCGTACAAACGCGCCAGCCCTGCAGCTCCCCGCAGCAAGCTGGTCCCGGGGCACGGAGCCTCCAGCACACCGCCGTGAGCGCTCTTTGGGAGCCCGGCCGAGGGAGCTGCCCTCCCAACGACCGGCAAACAAACTGGATCAGCTTCAATCTACGTAAAAGCACTGCTAGAAACGACTTCTTTTAGCACTTTTAACAGACGGAGTTGGAAACACTGCCTGGGCAGCTCCCCCTACTAGATTCCTGGCCCAGATTTCACACACCAGCGTGCGGGTTGAGAGCCGCCAGGTCAGCGTGCACACCTGAGCGGGCCGAGAGCCCCTGTCTGCCGCAGGCCCGTCCTGCCCTGCACCCGAGCCGGCAGGAGCCAGCCCCGGAGCCCCGGAGCCCCGGAGCCCCCGAGCCCCGGAGCCCAGGCCGGGCCGGGCCCGCGGCAGCAGCCCCTTCAGCAGACGGCCTGGCACCAGGGACTTCGGCCTGTGCCTCTGCTATCCCCACCAACCCTCGGAGCTCCAGCGCGCTGCCGTGGGCAGCGGCAGCACACCCACCGGAGCTCGCCGCGCTCCGCGCCTCCCTCCCGGGAGGCTCCGGCAGCCGCCCGGCCAGTGAGAGCACTCTGCCCGGCCGAACACACGGCGAGCTGGTCAAAGCAGGGAGAAGGGGAAGCCCAGCCCCGCCGGCGCCCCGAGCGCGGCCGCGGCACCGCGGGGCCTTTGTGCGCCCCCCGCCCGGACCGGACCCCGCGGCGTCGCCCCCGCCAGCGCTCCCGGCGGCGGCGCCGACCTGCTCCGGCGGCAGGGACTCACCCGCTGGGCCGGCAGCACGGGGCGGGACGGAGCCGGACGGAGCTGGCCGTGCTGCGGCGCTGCCCCGCTCGGGCCAGCGGGGCCGGGGGCGGCCGCGGGCGGCGGCGGCTCCGCTGACAAAGGAGCGCGGGCGGGGCAGCGCCCGCACCGGCAATGGCCGCGCGTCACTTCCGCCCGCCGCCCCGCCCAGCGCCCCCTGCCGGCGCCGCGGGGCCACGGCGGGCTCGGGTTCGGGTTCGGGTGCCGGTGCCGGTTCGGGCTCGGGCTCGGGTTCGGGGGAACGGAAAGCCCGTCCCGAGCAGCGGGAAGGAGGCACAGAAGCGTCCAGGGGCGGTGGGCAGCCTGAGAGCCCGGGTCCGGTTCCGATACTGGCAGAGCCCATGGGGTCACTGGTGCCACTCCAGGGCTCGGGGCACAGCCGTGTCCCTGCTGTGTCCGATACTGGCAGAGCCCAGGGGTCACTGGTGCCCCTCCAGAGCTCGGGGCACAGCCGTGTCCCCGCTGTGTCCGGGTGGCTCCGGATGGCCCGGGAGGAGACTCCAGCCCTCCCCGGGCTCTGCTCGGGGCAGGAGCTCTGCCCCTGTGCCGGGAGCTCCTGGGCTCAGCCCTGCCCGCGGCCCTGGGGCCATCACTGGGCCCGAGCACAGCCTGGGCCTGCTCCGACCTCCCTGCACGGAGGGACACACTGGGAGAGACGGACACACGGGGACAGACGGACACACGGGGACAGCCAGGGCTGAGCCCCTCTCACTGCGGCTCCCCTCCAGGCTGAGCAGCCCCAGCTCCCTCAGCCTTTCCTGGGCACTGAGCTGCTCCAGGCCCTTGCTCAGATCCAGGAGCTCCTGTCCCTGCTGTGCTGAGGAGCCAGAGCTGGTCACAGCACCCAGAGGTGCCTCCAGGGTTCAGCCAGACTCGTGTGCTAAATTTTATTTAAAAAAAAAAATCTGACTGCAATTTTCACACCAAGTTATTCATAAACTAGTTATTGTCACATCATGACTTTTAAGGTCAAAGGTGTCTTCCTTCATCTGGAAGTTTTAGCCCTCCGTCATCCACCTGAATTAATTCCCCAAAATCATACATTCTTCCAACAACCGTGGTCCTTCAATCACACTCCGAGTCCCAGGATCCCAGAATGGTTTGTGTTGGGAGGGATCTTGGAGCCCATCTTGTTCCACCGCCTGCCATGGGCAGGTCACCGTGATGCAAACAGGCTGACTTTGGGTGGAAGCAGTGTCCCTGTGCCAGCTGCACTAAGCCAGCCTCACTGAGGTTCCTGCAAAGGCACGGGCTTCTTCCTAAGCAGGAAAGGGGAGCGGATTTCCAGAATAACTACATCTAATTACTGTCAACAGAGCTCCTATACTGTGATGTGATGGATCAAGGACATGACATCCCACATTTTAAATAAATCCGGACGATCCTGAGAAATTCCCAAACATGACTGACCTGATGCTGCACGCACGTTCTGCCCAGCCCCATGGTGCAGGGTGTGTGCCCCGGCACTGCTCTGTGCCTCCCCAGGGCAGTGGGGGATGCCAGAGCCCCGGGGGCACTGGGAGGCACTGGGAGGCACTGGGGGGCAAGTCCCACCAGCCCAGGGTCAGACTGGTGGCCCATTGTCCCAGCTGCCACATTCCCTCAGGGTCAGCCGGGGCTGCCCTCACGGTCCCCGAGCTCGCCCTGCCAGTGCCCCGGACCAGGCCGCGTGTGTTCCTAGGCACCGCTGCAGCACTGCTCTGCTGCATGCAGGTGAGCCTGCAGCTGCAGCACCCCGCAGCAGCCTGCACAGGGCTCCTCCCGGCCAGGCACGGCGGGGCTGCGCCAGGGGCTGTTCTGCAAGGACGTCCCTGCTGTCCCCGGCACGGCAGCGAGCCCCAGGGCTGCCCGAACCACCACCAGGGGCTGTGCAAGGACAGCCACAGGCTGTCCTGCAAGGACGTCCCTGCTGTCCCCGGCACGGCAGCGAGCCCCAGGGCTGCCCGAACCACCTCCTGCAGCTGTGGAGGCCCAGGCACGGGCCTCCTTAGGAGAGACCACTCCAAAGCCTTTGAGACGTTGGCAGGGGCTGCCCAGGGAGGTCTGGAGTCCCCGTCCTGGGGGTGCTCCAGGCAGGGCTGGATGTGGCACTCAGCGCTCTGGTCACAGTGACAAGGTGGGGATCAGGCACAGGTCGGACTCGACGATCTCGGCGGTCTTTTCCAACCTGGCTCAGAGTGGTTGTGCTCCCCTGTCACAAGGGATGTGGTTGTGCTTTTCCTCCACACAGGCAGCGCTTCCCGAGCAGCAGCATGAGCATCTGCAAGACAGGAGGTGAGGAGCTCGGAGGAGAACGTGGCACAGCCCGCCTGGGACAGCAGGGGCAGCAGGCACAGCGGTGGGGCCAGCAGGCAAGTGCTCGTTCCCTCGGGAACAGGCAGGTGGACAGAGGGTTTGGAAAGTGCTCCCAATGAAGCTCCTTTGTGCATACAGCCCATTTATGCACAGCCCTCCAAACGGGGCCAGGATTTGACTCACTATGAGTAATAGGAATGTTTTAAACAGAGAAAAGAATACTAATTCCCTTAAAAATACAAATAGGTCTACATTTGGCTCAACAGCACAAGGCCAGTGATTTTCCACAGTGTACTGCCAAGTAGCTGAATGTGACATTCAAGTAGCTGAAGTGTAGGTGTTCCTCGGGAGAAAATACAGCTCTAACAAGGACCATTTTCCAAAAGAGAAGACTAAAGATTGGGTATCTAATAGCTTTTCAAAATTTAACCAAACGGCTCCATTTCCAGAAGTGCCAAGTCTCCCTTGAGGCCCCACAGGTGGTGTTGGCAGCCAACACTCCTGAACACCCACCTGCTTATTTGCAGCCTGAAGCACTTTTGACAGTGGTAGCCCATGTGGTTATCCCAGCTCCCAGGAAAGGGTGACACTGCTGGGCTAAGAGCCACCCCTCACTAAAGCCTGCGGGGCTCCCAGGAGACACGAGGAGCCACGTGGGTTAGGAGCACTTTGCATGAAAAAGTTTCTGCTTTACATCTGGTAGAAGAATATGAATTTTGGAACCTGTCATTGAGTAACCCACGCATGGCTCACCAAGGGACAGCTGTTGCTAAGTGCTCATTCACAGCCACGGGGGGAACCAGTGCTGGGAACTGGAATTGGGCAGCTCCTGCCCACAGCCTCCTGTAGCTGGATCACGTACAGTTTACATGCCACTGATTTCTAATTAATAGTGAAGCAGAGGGAATAATTAAGTTACTGAAGTAATCTCAGCATCATCTATAAACAGGGCTATTTTTCTGTTCTTTTGAATGCCACTTCTTATTTATCATCATAAGCATCCTTACAAATAAATTTGCTTTACCAACAGTGCAGGGTTTTTTCAATTATCTTTTCTATAGGTAACATGATTGTTGATAGGAAATTCCAGCTGTAAGTAGGATTTAATCTGTAATGACATTACAGATTATTTGGGGAGAAAACCAGGGCTGCAGTCTGAGAGGGATATCATGACAAAGTGTTTGGGTTAGTGGCTGGCAGTGTCAGAAGTGCCAGTTCTGAGATCTGGGGAGGATCCCAGGGCTGTCTCTGTGCCTCAGATGCCGTGCTGGCACAGTGAGGGTACTAAAGCACCTGGCTTGACAGGTATTTTACAGTCCCCCGAGGAAAGGTGGAGTGGATCTGATGGGGGTATTCATACACAGCTGACTTTGCACAGCTTTGCAAGGAGTAGAGTGTGGTTAAATGTGGGGTCTTCCAGCAGGAATGAGGTTGTCCTCATGTGGCTTTTTCCGTGCTGGGGAACAGTCTGGAACTTCTTCCTGGACAATGTTTGCATTAATCAGGTGTAATAATGGCATGTCCATGTGAAAGGAGCACTGTGGGCACAAATTGCCACCCACAGACATCAGAATGAACACATCAATATTATGCAAATACCGTGGTGTTCAGGAGTCTGTGGGCCCCAGAACACAGCGCACACAGAGCACACCTTGAGCTATGGGGCAGGTTCACCCTGTCATCCTCCCACACAGAAAACCCTCCCAAGACAGCAAGTATAGCAAAATCAGGCTTCTCTGTTTTGAAACAATTTCCATGGCAACTTGAACTGCCTTGGTTCTTCATAAATTCTGCCTCTCTCTGGAGCAGCTGGGATTTCAAGTCAGACCACTTTGCAATGCTCTGGGAGTGTAGAAACAGCTCACGCAGCTGAAAGATGCCATGGAGGAAATGTTTCAAAGAGGGGGTGGCTGGACCCCAGTCCAGGCCCCTCCTTTGGTAAAACCATCTCCTTCTGGACTGCCTTTTCAGCTCTGCTGAGTGGTGAGCACTGCCCCAGACCAACAGGGGCAGGGTTGGGGTCCAGCCCAGACCAGCAGCACCACACGGGGAGGGCCCTGGGGACAGGCAGAGCCCAACAGCAAAAAAACACCTCTAACAAACACTGTTATTCCTTCTAAAATACACAGTAAAATAAAATTTATTTGTGGCACAGAAAATGAGGCTGTGCATGACAAAGCCAGTCTGATAATTGCCTTCAGAGCTGCTGAGGTTTTTAACTCTTTAGCATTATTAACATCAGCAATAAAGACTTGCTTATATGCTCGAGGTGAGCTGTGGTACAGAAATAATAATCCAGGTGACCTTCCAAGCTGCTGCTTGTCATGAATTATTTTCTTCTGCCTTGAGGAAATTTCTAAATATATATCTGTATATATGCATGCAAACAAGCAAACCTGGCAGTTGCAACGTAGCGAAGTTGCATCACCGCCCCTCCCAGCGCAGCAACTGGCCCGAGCACAGCTGCTGAGAAAACCCCAGGAAGCAGTCGGGTTTGAAATTAAAGAGCTTGTTCTAGTATTTAGCTGTGATGAATGTGACTGGGAGTACATGTGTTTCGTCAGGCGTCCGTGAGTCAGGCATGTGAGTCACAGACGGAGCGCGCTGGGGCCGCTGGAGCAGCCGGCGAGGCCTGTCCCGACAGCTCCACGGCCACAGAGCTCCCACTGGCTCCCAGGACACTCCGTGAGGGTGAGCACAGGACTGGGACATGCCTGCTGTCCCAGCAGCTCTGGAGAGGGCCTCAGCCCAAGCACCTTCCACAGTTCTCCTTTTTCAGGTCCTTACCTCGTGTGCGTCT